CGAAGTTGATCACCCTCTGGTGGATGATGGTGTGCCCTCTGATGTTGTCGTAGACGATGAAGACCCTGGTCTGGTAAGATATCCGGTCCACGGTGCACGCGCGCCGCCACTGGCGGCGGGCGCGCTCAGGCTCCCCCCCACCGTGGGTCTCGGCGTGGCGGCGCAGGGAACACGGGCCACAAAAGCCTTCCTTCTCCTCCTCCTCCACCTCCTCTTCCACTTGACGACGGCGGCGACGGCGCCGACGACGGCGCCACCGACGACTGCGGCGCCCCTCCTGCTTCCCCTCGACCGCCGGAGCAGGCGCGGCGGTCGCCAGCGGGGCAGCGGCCGCTGGCTTCCCGCTCGCGTGCGCGGCCTGCTGCCGGGCAGGAGGCGGGCGTTGGCAGAGCTGGGTTTAGTGGGACCTGGTTTAGTGGTCTGTACCGGGGGGCGCCCCCCCCGTCCCATTCCACTACAGGGCAGCTCTTATTACATAAGATGTTTAAAACATATAGGATTTTAATACATGATTAATTTATGAATACATGTATGCATGAACGCATCGTTGCTTTTAATGCTAAATCCATGCATTTGTAATACATGATCCGCACGCGGAGCATGTATAAAAAAAACGGCACTGTAACCGGAATTGCCGTAACCCGAGAAGCATCAGCTACGGCAGACCTGGTTTAGTTCGGAGGGCACCAACTATACACCTACACCGATCTTGGCCAGGCCAATCCTGCGCCCAGGATCGGTGTATATGCCTTCCTGCCCCAGGCAGGAGGGCGTATACACCGATCCTGGGCCCAGGGTGATACTGGCCAGGATCGGTGTTGGTATAGTTGGTACCCTCCGATTAGTGATTCCAATTCCTATTTTGGGCTTCAGGGACCAATCGCCAACCGGCTCCCCTCAACCGGGGTCCTGGCTATCCCCGCAGGAGGGCGGAGCGGGCTCGACGGTGCAGCCCTTCGGTCGCAGTGCTGGGGCCCCCCATGCCACCCGGCACAGGGCCGGCGCCACAACTCATCGATTGCCAAGGCCTGGCGCACGCTGCTGCGCTCCATGAAAAAATGCGAGACTGCCGACGATTTGCTAGCGAACTCCCCTCTCCCAGAGCAAAGAAGAGCACGACATGAGCACAGGCTGTCGGAGGTTCACGCGGATTCTCGGGTCCGGCCGGCGCTGGACCGCCCCCCAGCCCTGGCGCCGCGCGGAGTGCGGCAGGGGCGGCGCTGGAGGCGCCGCCAAGATCCGGCGACGACCCAAGAAATCCGCGACGACTTCCGAAAATGTGCAGCGTTTTGCTTTTGGACTTTCTTCTGCGGCACATTCGTACCGTGACGACCTGTGCTTTGGTTTCTGATCCCGATCGCACAACCTGGCACGATCGCGGATTTCCGATAGCCCAAGCAATCCACGGCGACAGCAGACTCGACCACCAACCGGACCGCCAAGGAGACCGAAACCGACAGAAACCGAAGCACACCGACACCGACATGGCGCAGTCCGTGTCACACAGCGAACCCACCACGGTGCAGCCGAAACGACCGACCCGCGGGCTCCCTTGACACGGCCACCCGCTCGGTTCGCGCTCGCTGGCCGCCCCTCTCTTGCTCCTCCTGGGGGGGGCACTTCAGCCGCCGTCTGTCGAAACAAGGCTCGAGAACCCTGGGGCCTCCGCGTTGGCAGCACAAGTCGGCGGCGCACCGGGGGGTGAAGAGCGAGGGGGGGCAAGCCTTCTCGGCAAGCGGCGAGGATTCTCGGAGGCCCTCTGGCCCTCTGAGAAGCCGTCTGTGCGCTCGGAGAAGCCTGAGACAACCCTCTCAGGAGGCCAGAGTGACCTTCCGAGCCTTCTGAGAAGGCCCGCTCCCTCCGACTCCCCCCTGGGGCTCGCCGCCGAGCAAGGGCGAGGAAGGCGGAGGCCGGAGGACGTCGACGACAAAGCCGGGCGGACGACGACAACGACGACCCTCGCTCGCCATCGCTCGGACGCCCATTCCCTGTTTTGTTTCGGTTTCGTGTGTGTGTGTGTGTGTGTGTGTGTGTGTGTGTGTTTTTTTCGCCAAATGATAAAGGATGCTCCTCAATGGTCCTCGCCGAAAGAAAAATGCACACGTCCCAGCGATGCCAAGCTCGGAGCAGACTGCCCGACGCGGGCGGTGCGCGCAAACGCGCGGGCGGGGCGGAGGCTCCTCCGCGGGCAGACCGTCGGCCTTTATCCTCGCCTGGAGGCCGGCGCGCGCGCCGCCACGACGGCCCCCCAGGAGGAGGGGGAGGAGGAGGAGGAGGAGGAGGAGGAGGAGGAGGAGGAGGAGGAGGAGGAGGAGGAGGAGGAGGACGAGGAGGAGGAGGGAGGGGGATGGGGGAGGGGGAGGGGAGGAGGAGAGAGGAGGGGGAGGATGAGGGTGGAGTATGAGACTGAGGAGGATGGCAACTCGTCCAACGAGACGGCTCGTGCGCAGTGCTGGGGTGAAGGGATGGACGCATGAGCAGTTCATGAGGCCGTGCAGGTGGGCCAGGCACGTGGCTGACATGCCGCTGTCAGAGTGGGCCCTGCCAGTGACACATTGGCAATGCACGTTGTGGCAAACATCAATTAACCACACCTGGCTAACAAGAGGCTGAGAGCGCAATACCTAGAGGCATGGCGTGAGTGAGCCTCTGATTTTGCTTGTTGGGCGAGCGCCTTGTGATCCAGACAGAGCTTCTGACCTTCTTGTGTGTTAGCACTTTGTCCTGCCCCTCCCCCCGCAGGCCTTTGTACAGGGCTTCCCCGTACTTCGTCCCCCCTCCCCTCCTCTGCTCTGGCTCCTGCTTCTGGTTCTCCACCTGCTCCTCCTCCCTGCTACCTCTTGCCGCCACTCTCCTCCTGCTCCTTCTGATCCCTCCTCCTCCCCCTCCTCCTCCTCCTCCCCCTCCTCCTCCCGCCATACCTCTTCCAACCTTTTCCTCCCTGGCCTCTCCGAACATAACAAACAACTATTGCAATACATTGCTCCGGGTGATCCCCCATCGATGAGCTACTGCAAGTCGTTTCGACTTCAATCTGGCGTGACTCCTTAGCGCGATATATGATTGCTCGTACATCGTCGCTGCGCACGCTCTGTAAGCTTTGTACATGCCCGTGCCATGTCATGTGCCACTGGTGCATTCAATGTACGTGCGCCACGCACGTCGTTCAACATGCTCTGCACTTCTACCGTGTACATCTGTACGCTCATTGCCCGAGCATGCCTGACCCTGCTGCCTGCTGCGGGTTTCTGTTCTGGATGTCTGTGCTTGATGCATGTGGTTGGAATGTTATGGTCGTGTCTGTTACGGATTCATACCCTTGGTGCCTGGTTTTGGTGTCTGTTCCGGACGTCTGCTATGGATGTTTGCTCATAGTGTCCGTTCTAGATTGGTGCATATTACGAACCACATATCCTAACCATGGGGCTCGTTGTGTCAGTGTGACGCCACCGCCTCCTCACTCACTCCCGTCACTTCACTGCTATCATCACACTTAGATCACTCAGACCCGGACTCACTCACACTCATAATCACTCAGACTCAAACTCACTCACACGCTCAACACCCAGCTCACAATCAGATCACTCACGCGTAGACACAACACGCGTAGGTTCACTTATAATCAAATCCACTGATACTCAGACTTTCTCATGCTTCGATGGACTCATACACCAACCATTCCCACTCAGATCCACTCGTACCCAGCCAAATCATACTATAGTGTTTCTGAGCTGTGTGCCTCCAGACTAATCGACTCTCTTCTGGGAGGCCCATGCTCACCGCCACACAGCAGGCGTGATTAGCATTTGGGCGCCCCAAGTGGGAGACACCAGGAACTATTACTCGCCCTTGGCCTCCTCGTCTTCCTCTTCCCTCTCCTCCTACTCCTGCCTCCTTTTTATCCTCGCGGCCCGGCTTCTCCCTCCGCGCCCACGCCCGCGCCCGCGCTGGGCGCGTTCGTCGCGGCGCCGGGCGCGCGGATGGCGACGAGCATCGCCGCGTCAACCGGGATGGGCCGAGAGTAGACGTGTCAGGAGCCAACTTCCGGGAGGTCTTCGTAAGGCCCATTACATAAAAGGTATGCCTGAGCGCAGAGCCACTAAGCCAGATTAACCCAGGTCGAGATTAAGCTCCGGGCTGAACGGGAGAAAAGGGACTTGAACTGGATTATGCCAGATTGGGCCGGTTTCCGACCACGGATCTGCCGGAACCGATTCCGAATTTGATCTCCCAGAAATTGCATCCTGAGCTTTGCTCCAAGTGCACGTGGCCAAGGCGCCTCACCTGGCCGAACCCGCTGCGGCGCAACATCGGGAGGATCTCTGCGTCCAGCGTGCCCTCCGCGGGAGACGGGCCGACGATGGCGGAAGAACAAGAAGCTGCACATGCATATAACATTTCGGAGGTCCGCGCGAATTTCCGAATTCCTTGGGTCGGCGCTGGGCCCCCGTGCCCTGGCGCGCCATGGGGGAGGCGCCGACCCGAGAAATCCACGCGGGTCTCCGAATGCTGTGTGTCGGTGCCTTTTGCTGTTCTTCGAGACGACCAGGGGCTGCCAGGCATGATCCTGGCTCAGAGGCGTGCCCAGCTCTTCGCGCCGCTTTTGAACCCGGAGGGAGGGCGGGAGGGCGGGAGGCGGGAGGGGGGCGGGAGGGCGGGAGGGAGGGAGGGAGGTATGGCGGGGGTGGCGGCGGGGGCGGGGGGGCGGGCGGGGAGGGAGGGAGGGAGGGAGGAGGGAGGGAGGGAGGGATTGAGCAGGAGAGGAGGAGGATTGAGGATGAGGAGGAGGAAGAGGAGGAGGAGTAGGAGGAGGAGGAGGAGGAGGAGGAGGAGGAGACCTCGGCCTGGGCACCCAGAGCCTGGGCCAGGGCCTGGGCACCTAGAGCCTGGGCCACCCAGAGCCTGGGGCCGGGCACCCAGAGCCTGGGCCAGGGCACCCCGAGCCTGGGCCACCCAGAGCCTGGGCCTGGGCACCCAGCGCCTGGGCCCCTGGACCACCTCCGACCACCTCCGAGCACCCAGAGCCTGGGCCAGGGCCACCCCCGGCAGCGCCCGAGATGATGCTGCCCTCCGCCGCGACCGCCACCGCGGCGGCCAGCGCGGCGGCGCCCGCCTCGGGCGCCCAGGCCTCCAGCGCGCCGTCCTCGGGCGGGCGGCCACTGGGGGCTGACCCCAAAGGGGGGGGCGAAGACGAGGGCCCCCCAAAAGGGGCCCCTAAATTAGGGCTTCTCTTGGGCGCCCACCGGCTCCAGCAGGGGGACCCGCGTTGGGGGTTGAAGCAGAGGGCCCCAAAGGGGGGCCCTGTGGCGCCCCTCTTGGGCGCCGGCTGGCTCCAGCAGGGGCCCCAAAGGGCCCCTCTTGGGCTCCTGCTCTCCACCCCCCCCCTTTGGGGTCACCCCCCATCGCCGCCCGCCCCCCATCGCCGCCCCCCGCCCGCCGCCCGCCCCCCATCGCCGCCCCCTTTGGGGTCACCCCCCAGTTGCCGCCCGCCCGCCCGACATCCAGGACGAAGAGGCTGGGCCTCCGGCAGTCCAGCGAGGACGCCAGGGCCTCCTGCAACGCCCCGGCGCCGACGGCCCCGCCGGGGAGGTCGACCTGCGGAGGAGCAGTGCATCACATGATCCGTGGACCTCGCGGTCGACCTCCAGGTCGATCCAAGGGACGACCTAGAAGAGGTCCGCGCGGACCTCCTCTAGGTCTGCCTGGTGTCAGGTCGGGCGTGTCCTCCTACAGGCGGATTCTGAGCGGCAAATGTGAAACAGTCAAACATATCGACAAACGGTCAAAAGTGGTTGAAAAATCGTCCCCAGACTATATGCCCGACTTAAACCTAGTGCAAATCGGCCCAGAGGAGCAACGTACAGCAGAGCCGCACAGTGAGGACGCGGTCGCGAGAAGCCCCCGCAAGAAACCCGGGCCCCGAATGTCCGCGCGCGAGGTGCAGTTTGTGGGAAGACTCTGAACGCAGCAATTCTTAAGTCGGGCCTGTCCTCCTACAGGGGGATGTTCGACGAACAATGAAAAGTACCCCAAGAATGCCCCCCAGAAAGGTCCAAGAATACTCAAACAATAGTCCCTGGACTATTTTTGGACTATTGTTTGGGTTATTGCTCATTTTCGTAGAAAATCCCCCCTGTATGGGGACCGGCCCGACGTAAAGCAATTCCTTGGCACCCGCGGGAACTCACCGCGCAGCGCAGAGCCGCAGCACCCCGCAGCAGCTCGGGCCCTCCGCGCGGACCTCTCTCGGATCGGCGCTGGGCCACCGGGGGGGGGGGGTCCTGGCGCTGGGCCCCCCCCTCAGGAGATGCGCGCGGACCCCCCCGCTACCACATGCAGGACGGGGGGAGAAGGGAGGGAGGAGCTCCTCCTCCCTCCTCCTCCTCCTCCTCCTCCTCCTCCTCCTCCTCCTCCTCCTCGTCCTCGTCGTCCTGTTCCTCGTCCTCGTCCTCGTCCTCGTCCTCGTCCTCGTCCTCGTCCTCGTCCTCCTCCTCGTCCTCCTCCTCCTCCTCCCTCTCCTACCTATGGCAGTGGTGGTGGAACATGGGCCCATCATCTGACCTTCTGCTTTTGCACTTCGGCGACCGCGGCACGCCGCACGCTGCAGCGGGTGCTCTGGTCGTGGAGGGCCGCGGCCTTGGCCTCGTGGACGGCGGCCTCGTCCACCTCCACAATCCTCACAGACATCAACCTATACAGTGTTATCCGTTTTCGTTTTGTGCTCGTTGTCCCTCGTTCTGTCTTCAATCCGCCTCTGCTACAAAACGAAATCAAAACGAAAACGGCCCACGAGGTTGCTAAAACACCGTTTAGGTCGAGCCCCGGATCCTCATCTGGGGCGGCAGATCGAGGCGATACGCCCTCGTGTCCATGCCCGAGCCCAGGACGGCGGCCTGGCGGATGCGCTTGCCGACCGCATCGAGCACGAACCTGTCCATGAAGGCGGCGCGGCAGCCCGCGACCTCGGAGCGAGGGACAAAGGTGAATGGGGAACGTCAGGGGGAGGTAGGGCATGTCCTCCTACAGGCGTATTTTGGACGACGAATAAAACATAGTCGAACAATATTCAATAATACTCATCCATGGTCGAAAACTCGTCCCCAGACTATTTTTGACTATTTCTGAATTTTCCTCCCTGTAAAGGGACAGGCCCGACTAGACGTTAGGGGGGGCTGGCTCAAGGGGGAACACACATCGAGCTGGAAGCGACGATCTATGGGCGAGGTGTGTGGGCCATCGGGCCCCATATCGGCGATCAATGGGCGATGGAAGGTCGATGCGTCTCCCCTAGCGTTGCCCCCGGAAAGAAACTCCCGACGGCCCGAGGGCGGCCCCGCGCCGCTGTTTGACGGCCCCGGCGCCCAGGGATGGCCGGGGGTGAGGCGGCAAGACGGCGCAACGCCTCAGGACCCGCATTCCGCAGGGATCCCTTCGTCAACATGGGGGATGGGCAGGCTCGACTGCAGTCCGTCCCAAAATCGGTCCCATGCCTAGGGGCCTCCCGATCGGAGGATCTCGCCACATCGCCAACGCATTGGCGATGCATCGCCGATCGTCGTCGACGCATCGGCGATGCATGGGCGACGTCGGCGACGCAGCGGCGACGTCCGCGTGGAGAAGATCGGGCTCCACATCGAGCCGCATCGCCGACGCATCGCCGATGCGGCGCGATTCTCCGACCCCACCTGGGAGGCCTGGACATTACCCCCTCCCTGGGTCCATCCTGGCCACAGTTCTGTGCTGCGCCCCGCCACCGCCTCCTCATCAGTCACTCCTGCTCCTCCTGCTCCTGCTCCTGCTCCTGCTCCTGCTCCACCTCCTTCTCCTCCGTCCTCCATGCCCCTTACCCTCCATCTTTCCCTCTCCTCGTCCTCCTCCTCCTCCTCCGCCTCCTCCTCCTCCTCCTCCTTCTGCTTCCCCTTCCCTCTCCTCCTCCTCTCCTCCTCCTCCTCCTCTTCCTCCTCCTCCTCCTCCTCCTCTTCCCCTGATGGCGTCCGGGTGATGGCCGCGCACCCTCCGCGTACTGTTTTTTTATACACAGGATCCCCGGGAAATCCCGGGAAACGACTCTCGCTGAGGCGCCGGCGTCATTTTTTCCCAAAATGCTGCTCTCGTTGAGGCGCCGGCTTCATTTCTGCTCCCGAATCGTTCCGAATCGCGCTCCCGCTGCAGCGTGGGCCTCATTTTCGGATCGGTGTTTGGCCTCCGTCGTTCAGGATGGCGTTCTCGCCCCAGCGCGGGCCTTTTTCTCGCGCGCCCATCCGCCCGCCACCACCGCGCCGCACCGCCACC